CTGTTGCAAACCCATGGAATTTATCTACTCGAATGTGCAATCTCCTAGGCAATAATTCTATTGATAGTCTTGAACACAGCTGTAACACACTCTACTGTATATTGAATTACTTCTTTTCCGTGCTTAACTCTCTGGCAGGTAGATCAGGTGAAGCCCAATACAGAGGTACCCCTGCCCTCCCTAACAACTGAGAGTTACACAAAATGCTTAGTATTTTATCAAGCAGAATTTAGTCCCCTCCTTCCTATCCATGTAACAGTGTCCTGTAACAGTGACTTAAGGTATATGAAACACAAACCTTATCAAGAAAGCTAATCGGTTCAAGATTTAGGCCAAAAGTGGAAAAAAACCCCCTTTCTTTTCACTTAGCATTGTCTCTTCTCCCCAGCTTAATGACTGTATAATTAATACACAGCTACAGGAACACGGAGAATGTAGCTCTTCCTACTCTTGTGTAAGTGGATGAATCACAAAGGTATCTCTTCTGGCTCCTTTATTCCAGCCTGAGGAAGAGCCAGTTCTACCAGGAGTTGATATTGTGGCTTACTACACCCTTCTTCACAGTTGTTGTACAGTTTGAAGTAGCTTTTAAAGTATAAGAGATACAAATCTGAATCTTTCCAGACTATGGTGTGCTTAAAGCCTTCATCTTTCAGCTCTTCAGCAATCACATAACAACCCTACTGGACAAATACAGGTATTATCTCATCCAGGATTACATAGAATACTCAGACATGTCCCTTTTGAACACTACATCATCTGCTTACTTCTTTGAATGACACACTACTACAGCTTCTGCTTGGAAAGTTACCTGTCAGTTTGCTTTACTGTCAAGGGAAATATGTTTTTGTTGTCAAACACAGCACAGAATTTTCATGTAACTGGTCCTTGAGATTTTTAGTTTGGCTGCAGACCTTACTCTGTTAAGGAATTCATCACTTTGCAGAGATAAATGTATTTGAGATGTTCATCTGTTTTGGGGCATGTTTGATTACAGTAGCTCTACTCTTTGTACACCATGAATGATTCTATATTGAACCACACACACACAATGTATTTTTTTCAAGTGGCTGTAATGGGTGAGTGAAGAATTACTTCTTTCCCTAAAGAAGAGTAGTACAGCATATACATACCTTCCTGTTACAGACAGCATCACAGAAGGCTGATGACATCCAACAGCCTATGCCTATGATTTGGCCAACAGAGACACTGTTGGAAGTAATAGCCAACACTTTTGAAAGACTGTGCTTCCCAGTAGTCATTAGCCTTTGCCTCTGTTTCCAAAGGTGTTATCAGCTATGAACATTATAGCAGTAATTGAATTTGCTTTTTATGATCATTGCAGGCCTTTACTGTAATACACAGAGGCTGCTGCTAGCATTATCATAATTCTTCTAACTTTGAGATTAGATTAATGCAATAAAACTTCACCTTAAAAGACAAACTTGGAGAGTACTACAGGTTACATGATACAAGCAGGGCTATCTAGATGAAAACATAGCTGAAGACAAGAATTTCTGTTTGTGTCTAGATAGAAGCTGAGACATTGGGTAGTTACCAAAAGAACCTTACAAGACCACAAGGTTATCTTGAAACAGACTAAGCAACCTCTACCTCCCTGCCCCCTCCCCTTCCCCCATATCACAGAACCTCTTTACCCAGGCTTGTACCATGTCCTCCCCCCAGCCTTCCTTCCCCATGGGAAAGCTGTAAAATTAAGAGTGCAAAAGGATTTCTACTGTTTTAACAGATCAGGCTGTAGTCATGCCAGTCTTCATGGGAGCTATGCCTTCTCACAGCTCTTTAACCTGAATTAATTCAACTTTATTCTCCCAGGAATTCTTAAAACACCCTTTAATACAATGTGGGAGTGTGGGAAGGTAAAGGGAGAGAGAAGAACATAAAATATGCTGAGAGGGGTTTTCAGGTAGCATTTTTGGTTTTTGCTGTGTACTTGCTAAAGAAAGACACCATGTTGATTTGCCTACCTGAAACCAATTATGAGCTTTTTGCATTTTATTAAAACATTCAGCTTTTCCAAAGGCTTTTTTCTAAAGACTTAAATTCAGAGTTTAGAAGTATCTATGAAAAAATCAAGGATGAGAACTCTTGCTGTCATTTATGCCTAATTAAACGGGCAGCTTCACCACGTAGCTTTGCCTCAATTTCTATACTGTTCTGAGAAAATAATTCAGCTTAACAACTGAGCAAACCAGAGCTTGAATTTTGCGTTGCACGGGCATGAGTGATTCCACAAGTGTTGATGTGCACCATCTCAGTATTCACTAAATAAGAACAAAATATCTTAGGACAAACTATATTGTTCCCATTAGTAGATTACTGGTGTTACTGCACAACAACTTGTGCTGGTATTTCTTACCTTGTATTGTCTGCTTACACTTGAGCACTGGAAACTCATTATGTGCAGGAAGCAATAATGAAGTGGTATGGGAACAGCTGCACCAAATCTGCTGAAAAAGTCTCCATATGCTATTTTTACTGTGAGAATCATCAGTCCAGAACAATTATTCTAACATCACATACGTTCATCTAATTTTAAGAGGAAAGCTTGCTGTTCAGCAGATGCCCTTAATCAAATGGAAGGATTCCACAGCATGGTTTCTCAGGGTTAAAAAGAACCTTCACTCACCAGCTAAATATGAGCACGCAAAAGGCTACAAAAATGCATCATTGTCCAGACTAGTCTACAAGAAACAAGACAATGGCAATTTTGTTAAGTATGTAAAGTTGTATTTTGGCTTGTCACAATCTTAAGACAAGGTTAGAATAGAGCAAACACGATCATGTTACTAAATAGAAACCGCATTGTTTTGTCATCCATAAGCATACTGCGGTGTGTTGTGGGCAAGCTATTGATGAACTAAGAATCTATATTTAAAATAATGGCTTGTAACACTGCTATTCTTTGATAACAAAGATATTATTTTCTTAGTGAATATACAAATTTTTAAGGATGGAAGCAGTAAGATTGACTTACCTTACATAAGCCATTAATTTCTACTCATGTAAACAAAGCCCTGAAATGACATAAAAACTCCAGTATCCAAATAATGAGTTCTGTCTACCTGTTTAAAGGGGGAATATACAATGAACACTGGACATAAACCAATAATCCAAGGCATTCTTACTGTTATGAGAACTACATTTTTGTCAATGCACGTCTTTCAGGAAAAGCAGAGTTAACACTGCTTGACAATACCCAATGACACTGTACACCTGTCAAGATGACGTGTGTCTGTTTCTTTCTAGTTTAGGAAGCATTGTTCATTGCATTAACCTAATATTGAAAGTATCTTCAAATACTGTGCAGTATGTATTGAAATGCATCTGAATTTTTTACAGATTTCAAGCAACAGTTAGACTTTATACCTAGACCTATGAAATATGACTGCTTTCAGCGAGCTACGTGAAGAATGCAGCGATTTTTATCCAGCTTTGTTACAAAAGCTCCGCCAAGCTACCACGAACTGCCTCAACGCTTCCTGACAGCCTCCTAAGTGCTAAACACCAAGTAAGAGCACCGAGTAGCTGCGTGGGGAAGGAGGAATACGTACAAGCAACCGCGTCGCGCTGCTTTCTTTGCCTCTGCGGCTACAGCGGATGGAGCACGGCAATTTTGGTTCTGGCTGCCGGACACCGCTGCTCCCGTCACGTCTCCCATCCAAGCCCGTCAAACAAGCCACGGCTGATGCCAAACGCGGCGCTGCCCTACAAGCAACAAGGGCGAGGCGCAGCCCTGCCGGGGAGGCTCGGGCCGAAGGAGCTCAGCGGCCCGGGCTGCCGGCGGGGGCAGGCGCTGCGCACTCGGGGAAAAGGGCCGGCCGTGCCCGCCACGGTTAGCGGACGGACCCCGGCCCTCTCCGCGCCCCGCCCGCGGCCACCCGACGCTCCCGTGACCCCGCAGCCGCGGAGAGCGGCTCCCGGCAGCCCCGCTTCTCCCTGCTCGCCCCTCCCCCGCGGAGCCGGTGGGTGGCTGGCTGCCGGGGCACTCTGGCGGCTTCCCCGCGGCTTCGCGCTCCCCGCCCGGCCCCGGGACCGACCGGGAATCGCTCCTCGCGCCGCCCACCGCCCGCGCGCGCAAGCGCGGCCGCAGCCCCCGCGCACACCTGCCCCCGCCCCGCAGCCACGCGACACCGGGGCCGTGCGGAGCGGCGGGAGCGCGCGCGCCCCGGCGCGACTCTCCCCGCCCCCGGGGGGGGAGCGCACGTGACGCGTCCCCGCCCCGGAGGTGCCGCGACGCGACTTTGTTTGGGAGAGTTCCGTGCGCGCGCGCGCGCGCTTCCGCGTGGCGGGGCCAGGCGGGAGCCGCACGGGAAGCCCGCTAGGGCGGGCGGGAGGCGGAGAGGAGGAGGAGGACACACGCCAGGCGCAGCGCGGCGGCAACAACAGCAGCAGCGGCGGCAACAGCGGGGAGACACCGGCGGCGGCTCCTCGGAAGCGGCAGCCGCGCCAGCAGCGCCCGCCCGCCCTGCGCGTCCCCTCCCTCCCTCCCCCGCCGCGGAGACAGGGGGCAGCGCCGAGAGGAGAACCGGGCTCAGCGTGTGTGTGCGCGGGAGGAGGAGGAGGAGGAGGAGGGGGGACACACCGAGGACTGCGCCGGCCGAGGGCGCACGGAGCAGGGAAGCGGCGGCGGCAGCACCGAGAGGCGGCAGCGGGTCCTTGTGCCCGGAGAGGAGGGCGCAGCCCGCACGGGGGTTATTACCGAGTTTCCTCTTTTTTTTTCTTTTTTTTTTTTTTTTTTTCCTCGGTCTCTGGGACTCAGCGGCGGGTCTGCGTTTGTCTCCGGATTTGAATCCTCCTCCTTCTCCTCCTTCCTCGGGGAAGCTCCCCTCCCCGCCCCCTCCCCTCCCCCA